CAAACTTTTAAGAACATTCTTACGGTGCCCAGCATTTTCAACATTCATAACAATGCCACAAATCCTTCAGAACCTCTTCTGGCTGTTAAGGAAATGTTATGACGTTAGCATATCTACGACCATAATGGTCGACAGCAATAAAGAACACAAAATCCAAGGCAATTCAAACTTACCAATTTGTTTATTAAGGAACATCTTGTCTGTATACCCATTTTTTAAAGAAGTATAGCTCAGAAGATAGGAAAGACTAAGAAAAAACCTATCTGGGCATTGTAAGCCATTTATGACCTCACCCACAGGCATTTTTGCCAAGGTTATGAATCTAAGGAAAGGGGATACGTGTTCCTTGATGTGATGGACTGCCATTTCATTTAATTTTCTCCATCCTTGGCTCTCAGAACATCAGTAATTTTATACAAGCATTATATCATGTGTTTCTAAGCATTTTTATTCTAAAATCATTATGCTTGCAATACATGAAGTGTAACTAGGAAGAGATTTAGGCTATCTTAGACTGCCACACCTCTTAGAGCATGCAGTCATATGCTAGAAAATCTAATCCCATCTCAGATTTTATATTTCTACTCTTACCTTTTAGTGTGGTGTGCAAAACATTCCCTCTATACTAAATGATAAAGGAGACAAGGACAGAGGAGCCTGTAAAAGAAGTTATCAGGCTTCTAGGAGCTTTATTATTAAAATACATGCAATACATGTTACGCACAGTAATGTAAAGCAGAGCAAAGCTTTACCCACAAAACAGGTAAGTTTTGTATTGCATTATTGCTAAATTACATTAATGTTCTATTTATATACACTTTGATACTATTCTATTTATTTAGAATAGTCACGCTTAGTGTGGCAGGCTTAAAAACACAGGTCTTACACCTTTAACGTGTTTCACTTTTATTCGGTCTAGGTCTTCTAACACACACTGGTGGCTGCCAGTGTGTAGTTTGAAAAGCACCTGCAGGTTAGTCTTAGAGGTAAGTCAGTTTCAACCAATTAGAAAGTAGTTGACTGTAATCCTCTATTGTTCTCTAGGAGCAATTCAGCTACTAAAAGTCAAAAGTCCATGTGGTGCATTGCCTTCTGTTAATCTTCATTGTAAAGTATGTTGGCGTTTACCAGAGATAAATCTAGCAGATGGTAAAATATTCTTTTCGACCACTTCATTGCCCTATAGAACAGTGTTATTTTAACTATAATGATATGAAGAGACTTGATGTACCTGTGGCTATATTTATAGTATAGGACCATCTAGTCTGATCTATCGACACCATTTCTACACTGGTTGTACTCCTCTATCACCTTGGATAATCTTATTGTTTCCATTCCTGCTTCTCCTTTCATTCGACAGTTCTTGTTTAACTTGCTATCATCATGAAATGTTGACAGCATGCACACACTCTGTTCTCCTTACATTTCAGAGACAAAATTCCACTGTATCTTGTTTTGCTATATACTTCTGATATATTTAGGTAAATTTTAATATACAAGGTAACACAGTTTACCAATAGAAAGAACTTTATTCTTAAAATTGCACTTTATTCCTCACCTGACACAACGGACTGTACCACATGCACAAACTCGTGACTTTACTAGATCGTGAAACAAGTCAGGCGAGGAATAATAATTGTCCATATACAATGTGTATCCTTTGTCTTGATAGTCCGTCACCAGGTGCATCACAATCCTGTGTCTGAGACCCTTCTCAATCAATCCTTTAGTTTTAATTAAAAAGATTGTGATATGGTGATACAACTGTGTCAGTAAATGTAAACCTCTGTATTGCTTAAAGTTTGAAATATAGCCGATGCTGGAATCTGTAAGAGCCCATGCCTTGATGCCACATTTAAGGGGCTTCTTGGGCATATATTTTATCCAGCTCAGCCTCCTTTAAAAGAATCATTTATTGATAGGTTTTATCTCGGTGTATAGACAATTTGAAGGCTTGAGTAATGCACTGTAGTAATTGGCGTACCTAATACATTCTATCATAATTAGGACTTGCTCTCGATGGCATTTTGTCCTTAACATTAAGGTGAAGGTGTCAAACCTTCTACCCGTGATAATACCTTTGAAAATGTCACAGTTGAAGGGCCATTTGGTACTCCAATATGACCTATAAACATGTAAGGTAAGGAAATTTGAAATACATACGTGTAGAAGTGACTTTTTG